GGGGGGGGGGGGGGGGGGGGGGGGGGGGGGGGCTGGCCAGCGGGAGGACGCATGCCGGAATCTTGAAAAGAGGAAGCAACAAATCAGTTATCCACATCCACTTTTTATTGGCAGAGAGCAAAACTAAACAGACTGTTTCACAAGGCAACAAACCCCTGCCACCCCCGTCCCCCCCCCCCCCCCCCCCCCCGCACGTCACAGAACCGCCGCAGTGCCTGTGCTCCTGCTCCTCCTTCACTGGCTGCTGCTCCCGGGTCACCTCTGCAGCTCCCGCACCAGCTCTGGGCAGAGGCCCCAAGAGGGAGTCCCTGGTCCCCTGCCTGGCTCTGTCCCAGGGCAGGTAGAACCTAGAGCTGACTTAAGGCTGCCCCTCCCAACACAGGGGCTTGATAGGACGCTGGGGGAGTCACCCACGGGTCGGTTTCTTTTGGTCCCACAAGTGGACATGCACAAAGCCCTCGCAGGTCCGGCCTATGGCCCACCCTCATTCTGCCCCACCCGGGCGGCCAAAGGCTGCATTGCGCTTGCCAGGACAAGTGAGCAGCGGCCATAGTCGGAAGGAGAGACCTCTTCACAGAGGGTGCAGCAGATGCCCAGCCCAGGGGGTGGGGGGCTTGCCCAGTCCCCAAACCAGGCAGTGGAGCAGCGGGTGATGAAAGCAGGCAAAGGGTGCCGGGTGGATCCCCTTTTGCCAGCAGGATGGGGACCTCTACTGCCCAATCCCAGCCTGCCTGGGCCACAGTGCCTGGCCCTGGGCCCTGGCAGGACCCTCCCTGAGGCAACGGGACAGCGGTGCCCCCAACAGGAACAAGAGCCTAAGAGCTCCCCCATCCCTCGCAGCCACCTGGACAGAGAGTTAGCAGAGGTCAGGTTAATCCTCCACCTGGGGGGCTGACCAGGATGGTCCCAAGCACACTTGGGTCTCTACAAAATCTCTGGGAGCAACCCAGGGAGGAGGCTTGACCCACAGTCTCAGGACTGAGCTGAAGGCTGACTGACCCAAGAAACAGGCATCCCTCCTGGCCAGCCCCAGCCAAGGTGAAGGGGAGGCTGCCCTGACCCCAACCCTGCCAAGCAGACATGGGCAAAGATATAAGGCCCACCACCGCCACCACCGCCACCGCCACCCCCCCCCTGGTCAAGCTCTCCCACCTAACGGACCTAGGGGCAGATACGTGCCACGTGGAAGCCTCAGCCCAGGGCACCAAGGCACATGCCTGCCTTCCCATAATGTTTGGTGCCCAAACAAACACAACGGTGGCTTAACACGGTGCGCCAAGATGATGCTCCTCTTCCCTGCAGATGGGTGATCCAGTCCCTTTCAGTCTAGCCGAGCACATGGCACCCAGCAGCCTATGGCCCAGCCTCTCACTGGTTGCCTGGATCAATCGCCGTCTCTGACCAAGAACATCCTCCCCCCTCCCCCCGCAGCAGTCCCTCCCCGCCCCCCCAGGCACCTTCCCTTCAGGGCTGCTTGTCAGTGTCCTGTCCCACATCCCCCCCCCCACCCAGCAGTGGAAGTAAAACTCTGTGCTGGGGGATCTGCCCGTTGCTCATTCCGGCTTTTGCTCGGCTCCTTGAACCACCGTGGTGGTCATTGTGACCTCGCTGTAGGTCACCTTTCCGTTGTTCTGGGCTTCTTGTTCCTGGGGCCCCAGGAGGTCTTGCATGGAGGCCCTGGGGGGCCCAAACATCATGTACGAAGCCTCCCGGGGCAGCAGGGGGAAGAGGGGCGGGATGCTGAGCATATTCCTCTGGCTGTGGGCCTCTGTGATGAGGGCAGTGAGGGCAGCCAGCAGATCCTGGTTGTTCAGCGCCCCTGTGGCATATTTGGCCAGGAGCTCCTGCCGCTTGGCGTCCGGGACGTAGTTGGAGAAGAGCAGGTCCCACACGGTCACCCTCCGGCCTTGGAACTCCCCTACGGGAAACTCAAAGGTCAGACTTTCCATGGTCCTCTCCCTGAGCCTCTCGGCGGAGACCTCGGCCACCCCGGTTTCCTTCAGGCGGTGGCCCGGAGGGCTGCTTCCGTGCCGGTCTTCTTTAATCTTTTCTTCACAAAGTTTGGTTACGACCGTTGTGACGATGGTTTCCATTTGGTCAGCTGAGAGAATCCCGATCCTGTACAGCTTCAGGACTTCCTTCCTCTTCTTCTCTGGGAAGTACCTGGAGTGGAGCAATTTCCAGAGAGAGACCTTCTGCCCAGCGAATTCCCCCACAGGGACCGCCACCATTCTCGATTTCAAGACCTTCTCCTTCTTCTTCTGGTCCTCGTCACCACTGTCCTCATTGTCATTGTCTTCCTCGTCCTCCTCGTCCTCCTCCTCCTCTTCTCCCTCAAACGACACCGTGGGAGGGCCAAGCGAGCCCCGGGCTGAAGCCTTTGTGCCAGTTCTGGAAGGGGTTTTCTCCAGGGTAGAGAAGAGGTCGTGCAGGGATGCCAGGATGGTGAGCGTGGAGGCCATCTCCTGCACGGTGAAGGTTCCTTCCCTGTACTTCCTCAGCAGCTCCTCCCCTTTGTCTCTCGTGATGTACTGAGAGGAGAGAAGGTCCCACACAGACATCTGCTGCCCCCGGAACTCTCCCGCAGGGAGGATGACCATCTTGGCCTTCAGCAAGTCGTCGGCCTCCTGGGAGGCGGAGGAGGAGCTGGAAGCTGCCGCCACCTGCTTGCTCCCTGAGGCTTCCTGGCTCCGACCCTTAATCCTCACCATGAACCTCTTCCTGCTGGCCTCTACTTTCTCCAGGGTGCTCCTCACGGCTTCCACCATCTGCTTGGGGCTCAGCACCCCTGAGCCATAGAGCTCCAGCAGCTCCTGCCTTTTCTCACGGGAAAAATATTTAGAGAAGAGGAGATCTAGCACAGACATGTTTTGTCCTTTGAATTGGCCGGAGGTTACCGGGATCTGGATCAGCTTTAAGGATTGCTGCACTTGGGTGTCGTGGGACTCACACCGACTCTCGTCCTCCTGGCCTGCACCCAACATTTTGGCCTTCTCTTCCTCCACTTTGGCCACAATGGCAGTAACCACCACTTCCATCTGGTCCACCGTGAGGACGCCGGTTGCAAACAGCTTCAGGAGTTCCTTCTTCTTCCCTTTAGGGATGTACTTGGAATGGAGGAGGTCCCACACGGAGATCTTGTGTCCAGCGAACTCCCCAGCTGGCATCATGACCACCCTGGACTTCAGGATCTTTTCTATGATCTCCCTCTCAGAGCTGCAGCGGCTTTTGTCTCTCTCGCACAGAGGCATCATTTGGATGGGCTTCGACTTGCTTTTCGTCTCCGCCTCGTCAATGATGGAGGTGAGCATCTGCGTCATCTCCGGAAGGGTCACGGAGCCAGATTTGAACTGCTTCAGGAGCTCCTTCCGCTTGCTCTGGAGGATGTACCTGGAGAAGAGAAGGTCCCACAAGGAGACTTCCTGGCCCTGGAAAATCCCCGCCTGGACCTTCACGGTGGCAGACTTTAAGGACTTCCGTGCGTTCTCGTCCAGGTGGACGCACCCCTTATCCATCACCTGGAACATCAGCAGCCCAGTGTCCGAGTCAAGGATGCAGCGGGGCAGGAGCTGCAGGTAGGTGAGGTTCTCACGGGCATTGGGGTCAAAGCACCTCTTGGTGTGGTTGGCCGGGTTGGAGATCAGGTGGAAAATCTCAGCATCCAGGTACCCCCACTTGTAGGCCACTTCCACAGGGAGGCGGTGGCTGTGCATGGGGTGGATGAGCCCCCCCGTGGCCACCTGGGCTTCCAGCAGGCGGATCCCATGCTCTTTGACTATGAGACCTTTCTTCATGGCCTGGAAGAGGGAGATTTTGTTCCCTGAGAAGGGATCCGTGTAGCCGGTCACGGCTTTCTCGGCAATCAGGAGCGTGTTGAAGTGGTCCCGGTCCAGCAGACCCGCGTTCTTCGCATCTCTCACCGAGAGCAGCCGGTTCTTGGCACAGTCCACGATGTAGCCAGAGGCGGCCTGGTGCTCCAGCAGGGCCAGGCCTGTTCCATGCGTGAGGAGGCCCCGGTGCATGGCTTGTCGGATGCTCAGCTGCTCCCGGCCAGGCTCCTTCAGGATGCCCGCGATGACCTGATCCTCCCGGGGATCCATCAGGTTAGGAAAGGGCCAGTGGGCTTCTTCACGGACTTGCATGATGGGGGCTCCCTCTGGACACCCCGAGGCAGAGCGCTTGTCTCCTGGCATCACTTGGACCTGGATGCAGATATCACGCTGTCTCTGGGGACGGGCAAGGGCAGGCGGTGGCAGATGGGTCTGTAGGGAGAGAAAAGGCCAATGGGCTCGGTCAAGGGCAGGCCAAAGGCAGCTCAGCCTCCACTTGGGCCCCTGGGCCACCTCCCCAGGCCGGTCCGGCCACAAGCGGGCAAATCCTTCACCCAAAAGCTCAGCCGAAAAGTCATCACACACCTGGCAGGGTTTCTGGCCACCTTTTTCCCCACCACCCTTTTGTGCCATGTGGCACAAAGCCAAGGGCTCCCCAGGCCACGGGTAGCAGGCGCAGGGCCCACCCCTGGAGCAGGGCCAAAGCAAGGCGACCCCTGGACCTGGGCCGCCTCCTTGGGAAATGTGCCCCTCCCGGGCCTAACGCCCCAGCTTCAGCCTTTGCCCAGCCAGCTCCCGGCCCCTCCCAGCCTGTCTGGGGGGCCCAGCTTGCCCCGCATACCTCAGCCATACTAGTAGGACGGTGGCCACTCAGCTGCTCCTCTGTGGCAGGTTCTCCAGTAGAAAGGCAACTGGGCAAAGGGCCCCTTGGCAAGAGGGCTCAGCCCAGCCGGGCAGGAAGCTGAGTGGGTGGTCAGGCATCCACCACCCCTTTTGCTCCCAGCACGGAAGGTGTTTGTGCCACGGCTGGAAGGGCCAGTCGAGCCCCAGATGCTGCCAGCTCACCTCTTGTCATTGCTCTAATTGCTGCCTTGTGGGGCATGACTTACCCCGTTTGGCTCCGATTGCACCCAAATTGGCAACCGGCTGCTTCCCTTCTGAGCTCATTCCTCAAGGCAGCTAATTGCGGCTGGGATCCCTGACAAACAGCTGCCCTGAAAGTAGTTGCAGGCCACAGAGGGCACCATGGGGGGCATCCCCAGCAACGGAGCTCTGCGCTTGCGTCTGTGCACGCACGCACGCACACACACACACGCACACGCCAAGGCCAGCACTGCCAGCAAGCAGCAGCAGCAGCAGCCCTGTGCTCCTTCTCTTCTGGACGGGCCTGGGGCCCATTTCCTCAGCCTCCCCCCCAACCTTTGCAGGGCCGCTGAGCCTCCCCATTAGGGAGTGAAGCACCAACCCAGAGGGACCCAACTCTGGGGCCTCTGTGGGAGGGTCTCATGGGTGGAAGGGGGGGGGGCGGCACAAGAGCCACTTTTGGGCTGCATAATGAAGATGATGGGGGGGGGGGAGGCTCTTGGACCAGCTGCCTGGGAAAGTGACAGGGGCTTGGCCCATCCAGGAGTCTGTTTTGGACGGTCCTCGATCCATGTTTGGGGGAGGCGTGAGCTCTCCAACCCCAGGCTGGTTCCTCCAACTGGCAACCGGCCACGTGAGGAAGGCTGAGCCTCAGCCCTGTAATGACGCAGAGCGCTTCCCTGCTGGCGGCCACGGTTGTTGTGGCTGAACCCCAGACAATTATTTTGGGGAAGCAGGCTGAGGAGCTGGATACCCTGCAGGGCAGTGAGGCACCCGGATTCCAGGCTGCAGCCCTAATTGCCACTTGGGAGGGAAGGAGGGAGGGAGGACGTGGGGCCGGGTGTCTGTCCTGGGGCAGAGGTGGCCTGACACAAGGGGGAGGGGGCTGCTGCAGAGGAAGTGACACACCGGTAGAGCAGCAGCGGGGCAACTCAGGTGCTTCTTGGCCCGTAATTGTGGAGTGGGAGGCGGGAGCAGGGGCCCGGCTCTCCAGAGGCTTCTCCGCTGCCTTCCGAGGAGCCCGGGGCCGTCCCTGCAGAGCTGTCAGGAGGGGGCAGCCAGCCTGGCCCTGAGCCCCCTCAGAGTTACCTCCCCCTCCCCTGGGAAGAGTCTGTGGGACCCGGGGCTCTCCCGGGCCAAGGGACCTTCTCTTTGGAGCGCTGCCGCCTCCCGTAGTTCGGAAAAGCGGCGCGCCTTTCGCGGTGCACGTTCCACTCCGCGCAGAGAGGCTTCTGGTCCCAAGACCGGCCGGCCGGCGGCCGGGTCTGGTCTCTGGCGAGAGGGCAAGCGGGACATCCCCAGCACCGCAGTCTCAAGAGGCACCTCAGCTCTCGCCCCACTCGGCCCTTCCTGGGGGGAGGGGGGGGCAGGAAGCGCGACCCCGGGGCCGGGATTGGACAAGGGGAAGGTGGAGGTCCCCAAGCGCGACACCCCTCGCCCCCCCTCCCCCGGCCTTACCTGCAAAGGCTGCTCCGGGCGGCTGGTTTCTGTTCTGCTGCTGCTCCGACGGCGGCTCGACGGCTTCCCTGCTCGGCCGGCTCGGCCTCACTTTAAAAGCGCGCCCCATCCCAGCCCCGGGGTGATGCAGCGCCGGTCCGCCGATCACGTGCCAAACCCTCCTCCCGCGTCCCTCCCTCCTCGCTCGGGAGAGCGGGGTGTCGGCCCGGCCGAGGTCCACGGCTGCTGGGAAGCTGGGAGCTTCGGGATTCGGGCTGCCACCTTGCGAGGTCCGGGCGAACCGAAGCTCATCCCCGCTTGCCTCCCTTCGCGGGGCGAGCGGGAAAGCCGCATGCGGGTCCAACCCAGCGCCTCTTCTGGAGCGACCTGCCACAGAGAGGAGGAAGGGCGGGGCGCGGGCGGGGGGTCAGGACTGCCCTCCGGCCAGATGACTAAGCCGCGCCTTTCTCTTCCACTGGCTGCCCCCCGTGGGGAGGCCGGGTGGGGAGGGAAAGTAGTCGGGGGGGGGGGCAAATAAGCCGAGCCGGCCGGTTGTTTGGATGCTCAGTCTGGGATGCCTCTAGGGACACAGATCCAACTGCCCCCTTGATTGGGGGGGGGGATTTCTGCAGTAAGTGCGCCCCTCTCAGCCTCACATTCTCAAGCTAGAGGAGATGTTTGACGGTTTCTTGGGAAGGTGGTGGTCAGCTCCAGATGCCGAAGGCCCGAGGGCAAAGGCAGGGGCGAGCAGCTGGTCCCCTCTGGCAGCACAATCCCAGCTCCCCCCCCCCATCAAGTCCACCAGACAGAGCCTAGGCTAGGGAAGGGGTTTTAGCCCTACAAGAGGGGAGCCTGTCAGCTGGAAGCCAAATGCAGGCAGAAGCAGCATTAAAACAGGGGAGCTGGTGTAGGTCTCCCCCCACCACAAACGCCTTCTTTTAAAAAAAAGTTTTTATTTTTTTCCTTTTTAATAACATATAATCACATGTATACTATTACATAGCCAATATCGTATTGTATTATTAAATGTTTACATCAATTCATCTTACCATCAACTCCCAGAAATGATTATTGGCTCTTCTGCTCTTCATACACCATATTTGTACCTTATCCATCACTTTCTTCTCCTTCTCTCCTCCCCCCCNTTTTTTCCCTTTTTTGTGGTGAGTTTAAACCATTAACATTCCAGGTTAAAAATTTAATTGTCATCTTCAGCTCCCTGAAGCTTTTAAAGAGCCACCTGGAAATCCTGCTGGAATTTCATCTTCGGTCTAGCTCCCACCACAGCTTCTGTATTTGTATTTGTAGTTTCTTGGATTGTTGTCTGAGCTTGTTGCATCTTTAATTATTGTTCTTTACGTTTGGTAGCCGCTTGGGTTTGTCTTTGTTCCATAATTCCTTCTGTCTCGTTAAATAAGTTCAGGGCTTGAGCAGTACACGCTTGTACCTGGATATCTTCATGTCTAGCCTCCCCTGCTTCTTTTCTTCCTCTAGAGCCTGGAGATGGAGGGTATCCCGCCTTTAATACATTGCTGTAAAAATCTCTTGTCTTCCAAACTGATTTAAGACAGTATCTTTCTCCTAAGTAGTTCACCACCAATCCAGCTGGGACCTCCCATCTGTACTGTATCTGGCGATTTCTGAATTCACCCACTAGGAATGCATAATCCTTTCTAGATCTCAACATTTTAGGGGGAATTTCCTTCAATACTATCAGCTCCTGATCTGCAATCTGCAATTTGTTTTTATAGGCCGCTTGTAGTATTGCATTCCTTGTTTTCCTGGTGACAAAATAGATTACAATATCTCTTGGTAGTTGTCTCTGTCTGGCAATCCATGAATTAACGCGGTAAAATTTTGTCGATCTGCCAGTCAATATTTGCCCTGGATTCACCAATTAGTTGAGCAAAGGCATCTTCAAAAATCTCTTTCAAATTTTCTTGGTTATTTTCTTTTAGGCCTCTTATTCTCAAAGCAAATTCCATCGCTTTATATTGTATTATTGTGACTTCTGCCTCTGACTTTTCAATCTTGCTTTCAACATCATCAACTTTGCTCTCCAAATTCACATTGGACTGATTAATTTCTTCCACCCTATCCTCCAATGAGGTTACATAACCGAGCAAACGCTTAAATGCGTCCACTATGTCTTCTCTTATTTGCTGATTGCAAGTTTGGATTAAAGCCTTAATTTCAGAAATTTTGTCAGAAACATCTTTAAAGGCAGTTGCAATTTTTCCTTCTAAACCAGAGACTTGTTCCTTTAAAGCTCCTTGGAGAGCTTCAAGTGTTAATGCTTCCTCTGGGGGTAATAAAGATTGTAATTTGTGTGAATGTTGAATGTTGAATGTTGATTTTATTTATATGCCGCCCTTTCCCCCCGAAGGGGACTCAGGGCTGCTCACAACTCAACCAGGGAAGGGGGGATACAGACAGAAAATTAAAACGACACAGAAACAATACATAATTTAAAATACACAACAGTCATACCAATTCGAGACGGGGGCAATAGTTCTTAGCCCTAGGCCTGTCTGAACAGCCAGGTTTTAAGGGCTTTGCGGAATTGGAGCATGTTCAAAACTGTTCTGATGATATTATTTAGTTTGGTGATGAAATATCTGTAAGAAAACATTGGTGCTCAGAGAGCACCGATGTCCCCACAGATATAAAACTCCCTGTACATTGAGGAAACACCTTCAAAGGTTTTACGCTTTGAATCTGAACGATAATGCATAACTTTTCTTGAATTCCCCATTCTTTGCCTTTTATTGGCGTGATGAGGGTGATTCCTTCAAAGCTACTTAAAAATCCCCAACCTAATGTACAGCCTAAATGTTGGAGGTG